CCGCGGGCCGGCGGGGGAGGGGCGGCAGGGGCGCGGGTTAGAAATACGCGGGACTCCCTCGGAGTCAGGGCAGGGGGAGGCATCAAGCATGGGCAGGGCCGCAGCGTCATACCGGACAGAAGGAGGCACGATAGGGGGAGGGGGGGGGGAGGGGGGACAAAGGGCAGGGGGAACGGTGTGCCAAGGGACGAGAGCGCCAGGAGGCCGTGCGGGGGGAGGGGGAGTGATCGAGGGGTGATCGCCACGCGCGCGGATTTGGCAGGGTCTTTCCGGTGTGTCACACTACTTTCGGTGTGAAGTTCCTTGGAGAGGGGAGCCGAGAGGCGGATCCTTTTATAGGGAGGCGACGAATGGCTCGCCTCCTTGCCCTCCTTGGCCGGGGGGCGGGGCGTCGGCTTGGAGGCATGCCAAGAGTCGCCCGGCGTATGAGGGCAAATCAGGAGCCGGGCTGGGCGACGCCGCGCCGGCGAACAGGCCAACTTCTCGAGGCCCAGCGCGGTGAGGCGCGTGCCCACACCGCGGGGCGTGTCGGGCCGGGCCGCGCTCAACCAGGATGACGGCCTGCCGGGCGGACGCCCGGCAGCCACCAAGTACGACCGGGCCCCAGGCGAGGAGGCGGACGGCCGGGCGGACCGAGGCGCGAGGGGATCCCCCGGGCCGGACCGGGCCGGCTGCTTGGGGCCGACCTGCGGGATGCCCGGCGTTGGGCCTGGCCGGTGCGGGCTTCGGCCGAGAGGCCCGGGGCAGCCGACCGCTCCCCCGGGCAGGCGGGCCGGGCTGCCAGGGCGCAGAGAGGGCACGGGGGGGGAGGGGGGCCGAAACAGGGGGCACGAACACACCCGAATGGGGCAGACTGCGCGTCGCGTGTAGGCTCGGCCGAGTACGGCGGTGGCCGTGTGTGGGTGACATTGTTTTGGGGGAGGGAAATTACGATTCCCCGGAAGCCGCGTGAGGACGTCAGGCCGAGACGCCTTGGGCAGGCGGAGACCAGCTGTACCCCCGGGAGGTTGACGCTGGGCCGCCGCCGCCATCATGACCGCCGCGCATGTGGGGGAGGCGGCACGCCGGGCCTTGCGACCGGCAAGTCCATGGTGCCCCTTTGGCGACAGATCTCGACGGCCTATGAACGGGGGGGGGGGGGGGCGGGGGGCGGGGAGATCGCGCCACATGCACCTGCACCAGGCCAAGCATGGGGCCGGCTCGGCGAATGCGCCTCAATCAGGGACCGGCGCCAAGATCTGGGCGGCGCACTGGTGGCAAGGAGGGCGGGCGAAGGCGGGCGGGGGGGGGGGGGGAAAATATGTGCTCAGGTGGGCTGGGCGGGCGCAAGAGGGGCCGTGGGGCCAAGAGGACGAGGGGGATCGTTCGCCCGGAAGAACATCATCTGGCGGGGAGGCACGGCGAAGGCCGACGTCGGAGCCGGGAGGCCGGGCGATCTCGGGCCTTGCCGGCTCCTTGCTCCCCGGGCGACAAGGGCGTTCTGTTTGCACGAGTGGGTCTGAGGCCGACGCCGGCGTGTGGGCAAGCTGCTATGTACCCCGGATGCGGGGATCCCGGCGCCGGGGGCGATTACTCGGCGCGAATCCGGGCCACCGAGGCGAGCAACAAGGGGACCGGCAGAGGGGGGCAGAGAGGGGCGCCGCGAGTGAGACCGGGGCATGGGCCGGATGGCTTGGTGGAAGACATGCCAAAAGGACGAGGCACTGCGACGGTAGCACGGCTCGCCTGATTGC